ATATCTCTTTATTTATTTTTATTTATAGGGTGATATAAGTTTATTTTTATTTTTGTAATTAAGTACTACTTAAGAAATTTGAACCTCACTGTAGATTTAAGGTTAGTAGTATTATCACTAGACCATAAAAGAGGCTCTCTTTTGACACTTTTCATGAACTGTCAAGTGTCAACCACTCAGCAATCATAGACCACTCTTCTAATAACTCCATCTTGATTGCATTCTGACTTCTTCGAAAATCCTTTTGTGTTGTTACGTTGATGCCAAACACACGACAAAATGCCATGTAATAAGGTACTCTTAAATGGATGAAGAGTTTTGAAAAGATCCATGACTGCCTAGGAGTAGGAGACCATTAGGCTGAAAATTCCATTGGAAATAGGTCCAATAATATTGAGGATGGAGCGAAAGAATATCCGAACCTTATCAGTGAAATTGTAGTCGAAAAATATGTGATTGATTGATTATGTTGCTCATTAGCACAATACACATCTATTTGGAATTTCCATTCCCCAGTGATGCCCTTTTAGGCAGATTTCAGCCAAAACAGAAGGGGATTCGAGTTTTAGAGAGACAGAGCGATCCCTAGAGAGATAAAGCGACGAACAAGAGTCTCCAAGTGCCCTAGCTTGATCTTCATCACCATTGGAGCTCGGCTTGAGCTTGGAGAAGTGCCGAACAACATCCAGAAGCAGGAATCCATCCTTCACAGTATGAATTCCGCGTCTGATTCTGCTTTTGCTTCTTTCTCCATGGAGTAGTTCTCCCATTCATCTGGGTATGGAGAACCCTAGATTTGTATGTTAGGTTTGATTGTATGAACCCAAGTACTGATTCTATGATTTGATTATATTCAATTGAGGTTTGAATGATTGAATGGCATGAATCCTGATCAAATTCCTGTTGTTTCTGCTTTAACCTAGAATGAGAATATCTGCCTAGGTTGATAGAGCATCCTTGATTGAAGGTAGGGAGTTGGTGACTTTAGTCGAGGAGCCAACTCACTATTCTGTACGGAATTCACTTCGCTAGTGGAGGTTTTGTTCGTTAGGGCCTCAATCTGTTTACTCCGGTGGAGGTTAGTCGCCCGCTAGAGACTCAGATTGAGAGGGTCTGAAGACCTTTAGTCGAGACTTCAGGCTGTTTAAGAACCTTCCGCAGTATAACTATCATAGAAACTGAAATTGGTAATTGCAATCCGGCTTGACTGCAGTCTAGGGGGAACCATATCCGGGTGACCTCTCTTAACCTGAAAACAACAATTTACTTGCTTTGTTTGTTTGTTAGTTTAGACTTGCATTAAAGTTTCATTGCTAGATAACAAGAATTCACCGAGTAGTCATCAAATCTAGGACCCGGGTTGACATTAAAACCCAAACCCGCTATACTACGCTTTAGGAAGTGGTTACACTTGGCCAATTTCTAGAGTGACAGTAGGAGTGAGTCAAGTTTTTGGCGCCGTTGCCGGGGACGGCTAGGTTGTTGAAGAAAAGTGATTTCTGTTAATTTAGCTTTTCTTTTCGCATTGTTTGCTTTGTCCCACTTGTGCCTTCACGGGTTTGCTTGCTTGAGTGTGTGCAGGTAGTGCATGACCTGTAGCCAGTCGGGAGGTTTACTGCCGTTGAATCTAGAGATTGAACGCACCTGTCACCAACTCAGGAGACAACAGCGAGCTAGACTGGCTACGGAAGAGCGCATAGACGGCCACCTGAGCAGCGATTCTGAGGAAGAGTACGGGATGGACGGAGATTACAATCCACACCAGGGGAATCCTCAGCAGGCTCCCCCGGTGAATCAGGTCCTGGGGAACAACCCCATACCCCAGGCTGATGGGGTTCATCATCATCCACCGCCGCCGGGTCCTACCTTGGAGTACTACTACACTCCACGGATTGCTGACATCTGCCCGGTCATCCTCTACCCGCCTATTCCAGCAAATAACTTCGAGATCAAGCCATGCTGGATTCAGCTCATTACATCCTCTATCCAGTTCCATGGCTTGAAGGATGAGGAGGCCAAGGTGCATCTTTCCCCTTTTCTGCAGCTGACGAACGGGTTCAAGCTGATTGGTGTCCCTGATGATGCAATCCGCCTTCATCTCTTCCCCCATTCTCTGGCGGGGAATGCTAAGAGGTGGTTCGAGACCCAGCCCCCATTGTCCATCACCTCCTGGGACGATCTGACTGACAAATTCGTGCACAGGTACTATCCGGCATCGAAGACTACAGAGATCCAGCGGGAGATCACTCACTTCCGCCAAGAGCCAGATGAGTCACTTCGTGATGCTTGGGAGCGGTACATGGGATATTTCTGGCAGTGTCCCCATCATGGCTTCAGTGATGCATTCACAGTGGGGAACTTCTACAGTGCTCTCTCTCCGGACAGCCAGAGGGTGATTGAGTCTCTATGCCCAGGAGGGGATATTCTTACTAAGACTCCACCCGAGCTGAACCAGACGATCAATACCTTGGCTGCCAAAGATCAATCTTGGGGGCAGAGCAGCAGAGGCAGACATTCCCGGGACCGTGGTGTGCACGCCATGGAGACCAGATCCGGGCTCGAGCAGCAGGTAGCCGAGTTAGTGCAGACATTGAAGCAGCCCAACAGTCTTATTCCGGGCAGAGGTTTGGCTACACCTCCAGTAGCTCAATGTCAGTGGTGTGAGAGCTCAAATCACTTAGTGGAAGACTGCCAGGCTATGAGGGAGTCTCCTACTCCCCAAGAGCAGTTGGACTTCATCGCCAATGCTCGGCGCCTCGACCCGTACAGCAATACATATAATGAGGGGTGGCGCCAGCACCCCAATTTCGCTTGTAGCAGCAACACCACTAAACCACCTGGTTTCCCAGCACCAGCTGTTGGTTTTCAGCAGAGGCAGCCATTCCAGGCTCGACAGGGGCCAGTCCCACAGTAGCAGCCCTACCAGCCTAGGCAGGGGCAACCATTCCAGCAGCCCCAACGTCAGTTTGCCAAGCCACCAGCAGCTCCTGCCCCAGATGATCGGATGAAAAAGGTGGAAAATATTCTATCTTCATTCATGACTAGCACTCAAGCAACTATCACGTGGTTGGACCAGAGCATAGCCTCACTTGAGGCAGGTCAGAGGAACCAAGGTGCCATTTTGCAAGATCTGCAGACCCAGGTGGGTATCTTGGCCCGCCAAAACACTACCAGGGCACCGGGGACTCTGCCTGCCACCACTATTTCGAATCCTCGTGATCCTCACCAGCATCAGCAGCTGGATGCCATTTTTACCATGAGCGGTAAGACCATATCTGCTGATCCTGTCCCTGCCAAGTAGGAGGAACCACTACCTGCTTCAGCACTTCCAGCCGACGATGCAGCAGTGCGGGTGGAGAAGGAAGCCCCCGCTCCCAAGCCACAACCAGTGGTTAAGGAGCATGTACCCCAGCTTCCCTTCCCCACTCGCCTACACAAAGACAAGTTGGAGACAAAGTTTGCCAATTTTATGGTAATGTTGAAGCAGCTCAACATCAGCATACCGTTTGTGGAGGCACTGTCAAAGATGTCCAAGTACGCGAAGTTCATGAAAGATATCCTCACCAACAAGAAGAAACTTGGGGGATCTCTCGACAGTGTTGCTGAGCGAGGAGTGTTCTGCTATCCTGCAGAACAAGCTGCCCAAAAAGTGCAAGGACCCAGAGAGTTTTTCTATCCCTCTTACCATTGGAAGCATGCATGTAGGCAAGTCCTTGGCGGACCTAGGCGCTAGCATAAATGTCATGCCCTATAAGTTGTATAAACAGCTAGACCTAGGTGAACTTAGCCCTACTAGGATGAGCATTCAGCTAGCTGATCGTTCCATTGTGCATCCTAGGGGAATCATAGAGGATCTGCTGGTTAATGTAGGTGCATTCACATATCCTGTTCATTTTGTTATTCTTGATATACATGAGGATGTGGACGTCCCTTTGATTCTAGGTAGACCATTTCTTGCCACCGCCAAGGCACTAATTGATGTGCATGATGGTAAACTGATCCTGTGTGCCGGGAATAAACAGGCTACTTTTTCTGTGACTGAATTCGATCACTGTGCTATGATTGCTGTCACACCTGTGCATGCCATTTCTGATCAGGTACACGAGCCTGTCGTGTATCCTTCTGCACCTCTCATTTTGCAGGACCCTCCTATCAGTCCTTCGCCGCCACTCCATCCAGGCTCACCTCCGAACAAAAAGATCAAGGAGGAGTGGCGGCCGAAGCAGCCGGTTGCTAAGCCTGCACGGAAGAAGGGTGGAGACCACTACGAGCTGGTTCCACCCCCTACACCACGACAACCCTGGCCATCCGAGTACTCACTCGCCTGCATCTTGCCGGATGGCCAGGTCGAGCTGACCAATGCTAGTGGTTGCACCCATTGGGTACATGGCCACAACCTGAAGCTGTACCTCAAGGGCGACGTGGATCTGCTCTTGGAGGCACCTGTTCCTGCACCTCCCTGAGTATCCACCATGGGCGTCCAGCTAAAAGACGGTAAAGAAGCGCTTGTGGGGAGGCAACCCCACCACGGTTTGCATTTCTACCCTTTGTTTTTATTTATTTATTTCATTTTTGTCGGTTTTTGAGTCTTTGAGTCTGTCTGGAAAGTTTTTCGTGCCTTGGGCGGTTCTTTTTAATGTGTGATTGGGTAAATTTTAGAGCCGGGGCACGAATGAGTCTTGGTGGTTTGAGATTGAAATTTTGAAAAAAGGCATTTTGGGCTTGGCAGTAAAAACACGGGCACCAGGGGTCCAAAACACGGCCGTGTTTTGCCACTGCCCGCCCGTGTTTTGCAATTTGGCCGCGGCATAAAAAACACGGGCGCGGGCCTTTTGAAAACACGGCCGTATTTTGGCCCGAGCCCGCCCGTGTTTTCAAAGGTGAGCATTTCGCCCTCGGCAGTAAAAACACGGGCGCGGAACAGGCCGAACACGACCGTGATCCAGCCCGCCCGTGTTTCGCTTCCCCCCCTATAAAATTGTTTTTTCCGCCCCAAAACCCTCCAGCCTCATTTTTTTCAAAAAATCCCAGCCCCCTCTCGCCGGAAACTCGGCCCTTTCACCTTCTCATTCGATTTTCCGGCCATAACTCCCTCTCCCGACCTCCAAATCACAAACCGCGAGCGCCCCCACGCTCCTGGCGTCAAGGAGCACATTCCCCAAAGAGTTGGGCTGGTTTGGCCGAGGTTGGGTCGCCGGCGGTGAGTTTTCCGGCGAGTCTCCGGTGTGTTTTCCGACGAGTCTCCGGTGTGTTTTCCGGCGACTTTGGGTGCCTTTTTCCACTTTCTTCACCTCTCTCGTGGTCTCTCCTTGCGTCTCTAGGTGTGTTCTCCTCGTATTTTCTTTTATTTATGGAGAATCGATACCTAGAGTTAGGTGAAGAACTTCTGATTGTGGAATGGTTTGGGGATATTTGGGTTTGGGGATGATTGGGATGATTGCATGTTGCATGGTATGCGTGCTGTGTGGTTGGTGTGTGATGCCTCGGATGGTGCTATTTAGTACAGTTTTGGTATGCTTGTTTCACCGGGGGCCTAGTCCACTGTCCGAATCGCTCGATTTGAGGGTACCCGGTGTATTTTGCTGTGTCATTCTTGTGTGATGGGTATGCTTGTTTCGCCGGGATTCTAGTCCACTTTCCATATCTTTCGATGTGAGGGCTCCCGGTGTGGTTTTGGCCTAACATTGACCCCGTTTGCTTGTGTACCCTTTGTACTTCCTTGGGTTTTGCAGGATCATGGAGGTTTATCTCGACCAGATGAACATCACCCAGCGCCATATGCTGCGGAACCTCCGTAACTGCACCATCGCCGAGCACCTGCACCTCGATTGGGAGGTGTTCGAGGCGCTTCATGCCAGGCCACAGATGGAGGCCGTGGTCCGCTCCTATGGTTGGCGGCGTCTTCTCACCCTCGCCGAGCCGACCTACAAGGAGCTAGTCTGGGAGTTCTACGTCACCTTCCACCACAACTCGAAGGGGAACTCCGACCATGCTGATGCAGTCCAGTTCACACTCGGCGGGGTGGAGCACTCCCTCAGTTACTGGGAGTTCGCCAATGCACTTCGTCTCAATTCCCGGGCGTCCGGCGGGCCGCCCCTACGCCTGGACCTCTCTGATCCCACCGACTTCGCGTCCCAGGCGTACTTTCAGCGCATTTGCCTGCCGAACAGTGTGGATGAAGAGTACGTGGCCAGCCAGACGCGGGCCGCTCTCCTCCGTCCGGAGTGGAGGATCCTCAACCATTTGCTCTGCACTTCCTACACACCCAACAAAGGTTCATCCAACCGGGTCACACTCCGGACACTCTGGTTCATGGATGCGATGGGTCGTTCTGAGGACACCATCCAGCTGGGCTCTGTGCTCGCCCGCACTTTCACTATAGCCGCCAGCAGCCTGACTCGCAGCCTTGTATGTAGCCCGGTGATCACCGCCTTGGCCCGCCACTTCGGGGTTGACTACACTGGGATGACCTTTGTCCGCGGACCCACCCCGCTCAGCGAGGCCTCCCTCCGCCACCAGCACCTGGTTGCTCACCACGGGCGTGTGCACTGGATTGCGGGCCTTCCTCAGCCACCTCTACCTGCAGCGGGCGACCAACCCGAGTCGAGTGCCGCTGGTGGGCGCCGCGTTCCCCGTCGCGCTGTCCGTCGTGACCAGGCTCCCGCGAGCCCCTCTCCTGCTCCACGGTCTCCTTCTCCAGGGTCTCCTCCTCTAGTGGTGGTGCCCATTTCCGACCAGTTGGCGGCGATCGCTCAGCAGAACGAGCGCATCTTGGACGGCCAGGAGCGCATCCACACCCGCCTTGATCGTGAGCGGGACCGAGGGCGTCGTCTCATGTCGGGCCAGCACTACATTATGTCCTACTTGGGTTTGGACCCGAACGCGGTCCACTACCCGTTCATGCAGTCCCTAGGGTTTGAGGATGAGTACCCTCCGCCCACTGGCGATGGTGGTGATGCCTTCTAGAGCTGATTCTGTGCTTTATTTGTGTTCCAGACTGAGACTCCATGTTTAGTGGTTTCTTTTTGTTTTGTTTTGTTTTTTTATCTTGGATTGTAGACTTGGTACTCTGATTTCTATCCCCAGTGTGCGTGTCTTTTGTTGTCTCTAGCTCGGTGCCCGTTGGACTTGTCCTTGTCCAGTTCTCTGCTTTTGACTGGTCCGCCATCCAGTCAACGTTCCTGACCACTGTTTCACGGTAACATCGTTCCCCTTCCCTCTTCTCCATTGAGGACATTGTCGCGTTTAAGTGTGGGGGGGTTCTTTGTATGAATTGGAACGTATATATGTGTGCTTGGAGCCTAGTCCACTGTCCAAATCTCGAGATTTGAGGGCTCCAAGCACGGCTGTTTGCTTGATGTTTGATCGTATTGGCACTGTGGACGTGATTAGTGAATTGAATGGCTTTTGACTTGATACATGATAACTTGAGTGTGACTAAGAAAACTTATTGTGATGAATGATATGTGCAGTAGAATTGTGTAGGGGTTCAGTTTTTCAACTGTTTGCTTACCAAATGTGACTTGGTTTGATCACTTGCTTTTGACAGTCATTTATGCATCTAGTTCAGGGAATCAGAACGAGAGATAGAGCATATAGGTAGCCATGTGAGACTTGAGCATGCTCGTTTCTTTCTTGTGCGATAGTTTCCTCTTTCATGATGTGCAGCATTCACGTTGTCATTAGCTAAGATGATGGAGGCATAGGATTAGCCCACGACCAAATTGACTGTCCTGGTGTGTCATACCCCTAGTCAGCCCCTTTGAGCCGTGTGTTTTCCTTTCTTTCGGTCTTCAGTGAAAAGTCACCCTTTTGCATCTTTTATAAGGTTCCACAGAGTGATTTTTACATGTTTTCTGCTGTTTCTGCTAAACGAAATGTGAGGGTTGGAGGTAGTGCTTAAAAGTTGGGCAGGTGTTTGAAAATGTGCAGAGGTGGTGGTTCTCTTAAGAAATGAAAAATAATGAAAGAAAAACAAAGAAAAAAATGAAAGCAAAAGAAAGCCACCACCAAAAATCTGAGTAATGCCCAGTAAGTAGTGTTTCTTAGCAGTCTGGCTTAGAAATACTAGCATTTATGTAACCTCCTTCGCTCGTATGCTCTGAAGAATTTGAGTAATGCAGAATAGCAGAAAGAAAGTTATTGGTTTGTTTGACTGCGAGTTTGTTGGGTTTGGAAATGTGGAACCTTGTGCTGTATGAATACTTCCACCACCTAAAAGGCCTTTTCCCCATGTCCAAGACCCTAGCCAGTCATCTGAACCTGTGTCTAAGACCTCCGGATTAGTTAGTGGTGACACCCCATATGTGAACTCTAGCACTTAGAGGCTGCATTCATGATGAAGAGATGTTAGGGATTGAGAGATTAAGCATGCACATTTTTCGCATCAATTGTCCTGACCCCACTGGTCGAGAGTGAGCGATTCATTTTCTCTTATTCCCTATACTCTTTACCCCGGTGAGGACCTAGATTGCTTGGTCTTAATTCTGATATCTTGAGCTTTGTGCATGAAGTGACTGTTTTGAATAAGTGGTTGAGTCAAGTCTATGTTGGTTGGTGAACAGAAGGGAGACTCTTCCTTTGCTCGATTTTACTGCATTCGAATGTCATCTGTGGTGGTTTTCTAGGTTGTCATTGAGGTTGTCCATGTGTTAATGATCGATAGCCAGTATGATCCACGTGTTTTTGTGCCACTATGATTTGCCCTTAAGCATGCTTGATTGAAACGTTTTGAGCTTACCTTGTGTCGGACTTGGTTTGCTTGGGGACAAGCAAACGGTTAAGTGTGGGGGAATTTGATAACGATGAAATTGCACGTATTTGCACCCCTAGTTCTTATCCGTTTGAGGGGCATAGTCGTGTATTTTTGGCCTATTTTACGCCGGGTTGTGCTACTTTGTCATATTTCAGGTCCCAGGCGTCAAAGGAAAGGCTAAGCACGAGTTTCGGGGCATTTGGAAGTCATTCGGTGGAGCTGGAGCCAAAACACGGGCACACCTTAATCAGAACACGGCCGTGTTCCTAGGCCGTGCTTTTACTGCCGAGACTTGAATTGAGTTTGGCAAACACTGGCTGAAAACACGGGCGGGGCTGAGACAAAACACGGTCGTGCCCACCAAAAGCACTCCCGTGCTTTCACCAACAGGCTGGCCGTGTAATTAACCCTTGGCAAAACACGGCGGGCTGAAGCTGAACACGGCCGTGCCCTCGACCATGTTTTGCCCAGTGATGCCCTTTTAGGCAGATTTCAGCCAAAACAGAAGGGGATTTGAGTTTTAGAGAGACATAGCGATCCCTAGAGAGAGAAAGCGACGAACAAGAGTCTCCAAGTGCCCTAGATTGATCTTCATCACCATTGGAGCTCGGCTTGAGCTTGGAGAAGTGTCGATCAACGTCCAGAAGTAGGAATCCATCCTTCACAGTATGAATTCCACGTCTAATTCTGCTTTTGCTTCTTTCTCCATGGAGTAGTTCTTCCATTCATCTGGGTATGGAGAACCCTAGATTTGTATGTTAGGTTTGATTGTATGAACCCAAGTACTGATTCTATGATTTGATTATATTCAATTGAGGTTTGAATGATTGAATTGCATGAATCCTGATCAAATTCCTGTTGTTTCTGCTTTAACCTAGAATGAGAATATCTGCCTAGGTTGATAGAGCATCCTTGATTGAAGGTAGGGAGTTGGTGACTTTAGTCGAGGAGCCAACTCACTATTCTGTACCGAATTCACTTCGGTAGTGGAGGTTTTGTTCGTTAGGGCCTCAATCTGTTTACTCCGGTGGAGGTTAGTCGCCCGCTAGAGACTCAGATTGAGAGGGTATGAAGACCTTTAGTCGAGACTTCAGGCTGTTTAAGAACCTTCCGTAGTATAACTATCATAGAAACTGAACTTGGTAATTGTAATCCGGCTTAACTGCAGTCTAGGGGGAACCATATCCGGGTGACCTCTCTTAACCTGAAAACAACAGTTTACTTGCTTTGTTTGTTTGTTAGTTTAGACTTGCATTAAAGTTTCATTGCTAGATAACAAGAATTCACCGAGTAGTCATCAAATCTAGGACCCGGGTTGACATTAAAACCCAAACCCGCTATACTACAATTTAGGAAGTGGTTACACTTGGCCCATTTCTAGAGTGACAGTAGGAGTGAGTCAGTCCTCCCATGACACACCAACCACACAAAGCACTTAACCTTTGTGAGGATTTTAGGCTTCCACAGGAATAATGTTGAAGGGAATGGAGGAATACGTGGGATTTTTTTTTCTTGCACCAAGTACTTGTTCTTTCTCAAGGAGTGCGAATCAGGTGGGATTAGTACGACAAAGTTTGGCAACAGAAATGAGTTTGCGCTTGATGGCAGGTGCTCATAAAACATCGTGAAAATGAAAGGAAGATGACGAGGAATGCAGTTTAGTGGATCCAATATGTGTGATTTGCAAACCTATTCCATCGCCAACTAGAATCTCATCCGGACCAGTGTAATAAGAATAGAGTGACAAGTTGCCTAAATAACCCGTGACATGATGAGAGGCCGCCGAATCAAGTAACCATGGGCTAGAGGAAGCAGCCAGACCAGCAATAGTGTGATTGGCCTGAGACTGACGAGCCTGATAATCCTGGCGGGACTGAGGAAAAAGTTTAAAACACTAACGAACCGAATGGCCCGGTCGCTCACAAAATTGGCAGATAATGGCCTGCCTGCATGGAGAGCCTGCTGATTGAGGCCCATTATAAAGAGAGGGCCGCTGCGGGCTTTGGATCCGGAGAGAAGCACCACCTGAATAGTCGGCCCGCTGGGTGGAGGCCCGGATCTGTGGGCGTGAGGGATTTGGAGAGCCCTGAAACCCTCGCTGAGAGCGAGAATGAGAAGAGGCGCCACCGTGCGGGCGCTGATGATGAGTGAAGAAGGCCGTCGGCACAGAGGTGCGAACTTGCACCTTGAGTTCGGATTCGAACTCGACGAGGAAATCCACCAAATCCTCCAGCGTAAGTCCCCATCCACGAGCACGAACAGCAGCGGCAAAGGCGTTATACTCCTCGCACAGACCACGGAGACAGAGGACCACCATGTCCATATCAGAAACCGGCGCACCCACAAGCGCGAGTTCAGAAGCAACACATTTCAGATCATTCACAAAGGTCAAAACATCATTTTCGCCCTTGGTGATTTTGGCCAGCTGAGTTTTCAAGTGAAGAACACGAGATTGGGCATTACCGGCGTACAACTAGTCCGATATTTTTTTATTTATGAATTTTTTTTTTAGAGAACACCCCTGTTAAAAATTTCTAGATCCGCCACTGCCCTAAACCTCCTTTTTTGTAGCGATTGGAGTTTCAATTGGCCAATTTGTTTACATAGGCATTTTCTATAAGTAGTCAATGGTTCCTCGCTTGCAAATTGATGATGCGAGACTTCTGATCTTTGCTTTTTTTATGTACGGAAATGTATGCGGAATTTATAACAGAAACACAACGACAGTATTATTTCTTATTGGTTGATTGGCAACTGAACATGGGTAGGCACCAATTCAAATACACAACAACAACAACATAACACAGACACGTACCGGTGTACGTACATGCATGCATGCATGGAACACGTGCATGGAGGAAAACAGAATAGATAACGGTAAGAACGGGTAAATAGAAATCTCAATGGACCGGTGCATGGACGGAATGAGGTACGTACTCAGCAAAGGAAAAGGGTTGAGACCACGTAGAGTACGTAGTTACAAGCATTACAAAATAAACCGACAAATAGTACAAACCATACTAACCGTACAAAATACCACTACTTATAATACAAATCGATAAATTGGAATTACAAACCAATAAATACAAAGTATACAAAACAAATAAACAAACATTACAAATTACAATATATACAAATTAGTCATGTAAACATTACAAACACAACAGACTAAAATAACAAAATAGAATGATAAACGATACAAACCGAATTGGTATAAACAATACAAACTGAATTTATAAACATTACAATATAGGTCGACAAACATCACCAATTCAAATACACAACAACAACATAACACAGACACGTACCGGTGTACGTACATGCATGCATGCATGGAACACGTGCATGGAGGAAAACAGAATAGATAACGGTAAGAACGGGGAAATAGAAATCTCAATGGACCGGTGCATGGACGGAATGAGGTACGTACTCAGCAAAGGAAAAGGGTTGAGACCACGTAGAGTACGTAGTTACAAACATTATAAAATAAACCGACAAATAGTACAAACCATACTAACCGTACAAAATACCACTACTTATAATACAAATCGATAAACTGGAATTACAAACCAATAAATACAAAGTATACAAAACAAATAAACAAACATTACAAATTACAATATATACAAATTAGTCATGTAAACATTACAAACTAAAATAACAAAATAGAATGATAAACGATACAAACCGAATTGGTATAAACAATACAAACTGAATTTATAAACATTACAATATAGGTCGACAAACATCACGAATTCAGCACTGTTGCCGGAAAATCATCCACCACCGTCTCTGGTCGCCGAAAAAGTTGACATCTCCCTCCCTCCCTCCCTCTGGGACGCACCAAAAATGGAAATGGTGCCTCTCTGAGACTAAAAATGGATGGAATGCAGAAAAGGTGCCTCCGGAAAATCATGGACGGCGGGGAGGACGGTCGGCTGCGGCGGGCACCTGGACGGCGGGAAATTTCTGTGGCGGGGAGTACAAGGCCGACCTTCGGAGTTTTTCTAATTATTAATTATTAAAAAATTAAATAACAATGAACCATTCAATTACTACATTACCCTTCATTAAATTGAATTAATTGGAGTCATTGAATTTTAATGAGTTTGAATGGCTGAGATCGACTTAGTCAAGTGACTAAGGGACCCCTGTACTTGTTCTTTCTCAAGTGGCCAGACCACATATGGCGCGCGATCCTTCTGCGATCCAATTATCTGGGAGTGTAGAAAGATGTCGAAGGAGATCTTGATGCTCCACCTCAGCTCCTCTTCACAATTGTATCACCATTGGGACTTTCCAAGACCTGTCATTAATTGTAAAAAAAACATCAAGGGTAATTCGTCTGATAGGTCTCGCCACTGATGCAACGTACCACAGGTGAACTGAGAGGCTAGTAAAGCCACCAAATCTCCAAAATACTTTGCTTTGTTTCACAATATGTCTCCATAAGAACGTCCCACCTCTTTCTCTTTCCAATGAGCTCGCCAATCTGAAATCTTTGAGCCACATTTGGTCTGAATTAAACTACATCACCAAGATCCCCTTATTTTTGGCAAAATGCCAAGGGCCATTGCCAACAATGCCATATCCCATGTTCATAATGTGAAGATCAAGAAATCCCAGGCCACCTAACTTGATAGGTGTCTTTACCCAATCTCAATGTATGAGGTGCATACGTTGCGCATCACCATATATGGACCAAAGGAACTACCTTTCTATCATTTCCAACAACATACATCATACATGCTTTAGTATTAACTCTAATTCCAAGTGAGGAACACATAATTTAGCATACATCATACACCAGGGTGGACGCACGGGGCTTTAGGGGTGTCCCGGGACACCCATAAATTTTGGAAAAACGATTATTCAACCCACGGTGGTAATTTACGTATGGATAAAAAAATATAATTGATAGTGAGGGACACACCTGAAATTTGAAAAAAATGATTATTTTAATGTCTTTTTTAATTTTGTGTATGGGAATATAAGTGGTAGGTTGGGTAATTCAAACCTATATCACTATTATTATTAATACACTTAATTTCATTAAACTACAACTCATTTGTTGTTTGATTTTGAACACTGCATTCCCTATCTCTAATTATTTTCAAAACCTAGCAATTAAACTAATTTCAACCCACCCTTAATTTGTATTGATTTTGTAGTTGTACGACAAGTGTTGAAAGAGTCTTTTAGCTTTGGGTTACATCAACAACAAGTTTACAAATCGAATATGCGATAAGTTTGTGAATGATTATCTATAGAGACAATTTTTTTTAACATTGTAGACACCAAGTGTATTCTACAATTATTTGAGAATATGAAAACACATAATGGACTTAACATGTACGAGTAAGGTATCTTCTTATTTATATATTTTTTTTATTAAAGTTATTTTTAAAAGAGGACACTCCTATGAAAAATTCAGGGATCCGCCTCTAATCATACATACTTTAGAATCATCTGCATAATATAGGTGGGTCACCTCTCCTTAGCTTCTTCTTCGTTTAGGTTTGAATCAATTAATTCGTTGGGTCGTGCTTCTTTGAGGATGCATTCCCAATATGATTGGAAGCCATTTCGATATTGAGTTTAAATACCAAACCTGAGCGACCACTCTCTACCTTGAATCAACTAATTCAACTATAAAAGAAAATACATATAGTAGGGGTTTTTTAGCTTTAGCGACGGGAAAAACCGTCGTTAACATTCCCGACCGCGGTTTTAGTAACCACAGCAAAACCGCCGCAAGCTTATGGCAGAGGATAGCCTAACCGCTGGTGAATGTTTTTGTGACGGTTTTTGCGACGATTTCTATGGTCGCTATCGGTACTTTTTGTACTCTCGAATATGAATTTTTACAGCGGTGGCGGATGCTTTTGCGATGGTTTTTGAACCTATGCGACAGGCCACTCTTGTCCAACTTTTTACAGTACCTCACTTTTAGCGACCATTTTTAGCGACGTCACTAAAACATTCATTACTATAACCTGCTGCAACATAAAAAAAATTCCAGAAATTTCAACAACCCCTGCAACCTGATACAACATTTCAATTCTTCAAGACATCTATCAGTACCTTCAAAGTGTACATTACTCAGTTATCCAATATGCTAGAGCTGTTGTTTCCTTCCACCGATCAAATCTCAAAGCTAGCCCGACAAAGCCTGTTATAAATGGAAGGAAATAGAGTAACATGAAAGAGGAACAACACTGAACTTGTACACAATAACAGCAATGCACATACATCATGACTTCAACGAGAGAACAATCACAAAATACACTCAGTTATGAAGGAAAAGACATAAACTCAAACTTATTCTTGCTTTTCTAAATAAAATATTAAAATCCCAGGCATGGAAATTCATTTGTAGGCAATGCTTTAGGCCACCATGACATCAAAAGGTTCCACAGAAACAGAAAGTCATTTAGGAAAATAAAAAGAATCAGGACTGCTTTTTTTAAGCTCAACCATGACCATTTAAACTAATCAGGATTGGGATATCACTTGGATGTTCCCAGATTCAAATTGGATCTATAGAGAATTGGGATCAAGGATTCAAAAAAGTTTTTTTTGGCAATAATCAAGGATTCAAACTTAGTTGCTAAATACAAATATTTATTTACTTACTTTGGTCAACCCCGTGTAACACTTTGGCTTGATGAAGATAGTGCACGGAATGAACCCTCAATTGGCCCATTCTCCCTACGAAGATGTTGCAAGAACAATGCCTTAAGTATGTCTACTTCCATTTGCAGCTGTTCCATCCCACTTCCCAACCGACCCACTTCGCTTTTCAATTCTACAACCTCACTTTTCAGTTCCACCACTTCACTTCTCAGCTCAACCTCAGTAGAGCACGATGTAGTGGTAGAATTTGTTGAAGCTGAGGAAGAAGACGACACAAAATAGGTCGATGGGGTTGGTCCCAAGCCAGCACAACGAACCCTCCCAGGATGCTCTGGACCATGTAGCTTCTGAAAGATTTGTTCATTATCAGCAGACCCTTCATGTCGAAGAGTATGCGCCTTTTCCTACACAAAATTAGTAATAAAGTATAAGCCATATAAGATTGTAAGATTACATTTGCTGGTTGAAGCTCTACATATATTCTAATTCATGCATGAAATCATAATTCAACAATTGTAAGAGTATAACAAGAATAAACTTAGAAGATTAGTTTTATAACTTGACATCTCGGCTTCTCTCCTATGAGGAATAAGAAAAGTAAATGACAGCAGAGGAGCAAAATAAATGACAGCAGTGAAAGTAGCACAAGTGCATAGCACATCTTTTCTGTATACATAGAGGACACATAAGTAGTAGGGCTGCAACAGATTAAGTATCCTCCAATTTTTTTATGCAAACTGAATTCAGTAGGGTCTTGATCAAGTAAAGTAGTAAGAAAATCTTACAATAAGGTTTGTTGCATACTCATTCACATATGTCCCATTCTTTCTTGTATGTGTATCCTCAAAAGTTTTCAGCCTATCAGATTCCTTTCCAGTTTGCTTAGTCTAAAAAACATGGAGATAAAAGTATTACGATTTCTTATTTGTCACATTTAAGTTTTTAAAGCAAATCAAACAAGACATACCAAGTAAAACACATACTTTTATAGCCATCCACCTCGCAAAGCTCATCCTCCCACATGTATGTGGAGTCTTCATGTTGCTAGCATTTTCCGCGTTTATCTTACTTAGTCTCTACTAATAATGCATTCATAAGTTTAAGATGTTAAAATTAAAATAAATATAACGACAAAAAACTGAATAAAGTAAATTTGGTCATACCTGAAAGTCTTCAGTATACCAACGCTGACCAAAGTTTGCCAATGAGTATCAATAACGCCTGCAGGCTTCGGTTGTGCAAGAACTTTTCAACAGACAGGTTAGGGTCATAATAAAGACTCTTGAGTTTTGTCTTGTAGTCACTCCACCCTCTATTCACGTTTGTGAGAATCCATTTGCTGGTAGTAGGTGGATATCAGAACTTTGCCTGGTCAAAATCAGAAACAAGGTCCAATCAGAAACAAGGTCTAATCAGAATAATGCAATTAATACTAATGTCTCAATGCCAATAGATCCACCACACAACACCTATAAAATTGACCGTAAAACATATCAATATAGCTAGGGAAAGATTCAGAGGTGTAAACATACGTGAACAATATCCAGTATCTTTGCTTTATAAGGACGCAACTCAACCTTTCTCCAATTAAGTTCCAAGGGTGTAAACAGTCCATTTCTAGCTACAACTCCAAGGAAAAATGCAAATAAACCTTATTCAGGACCACATGGAGCTCCGTGTTTATTCACCTCAACATCAATTCTTTCATTTGGATCCATGTTCCATAAATCGGCTAGGACTGTTGGTCCTCTCCTTCTGAATCTTTTCAGATAATCACACATGTTCTTCTCTATATGCATCACATCCAAATTGTGACGCAATAAATTATTTTCCCAATAAGGCAGATAAAAGAATATACTTCTCTTTTTAAACCAATCTGCCCACTCACTCGAATTATCAATGGAACTCGAATCACCTTCACCCTCCCTCCTCTTCATCTTCCTCATTTTTCTCTTCACTTCCTTTTTCCCATAACAGAATTGTCTCCCTTCTAACATTCATGAAATTTCACTTCCACTGAGTTGTTTAGGGGCTTTTCTTTGCTCATTTGTGCCATCAAAATAAGAGCATTGAGAGAGAAAAGGATGATCTTCTGGTAACCACCGACGATGCTCCATATAACAGAACTTCCCTCCATGTTCCAACCACTTCGAACAAGTGGATTCACCACAAATTGGGAAAGCAAATTCCCCATATGTACAGTATCTAGATATAATTCCATAGGCAGGAAAATTATTTATCGCACATTAAGGTAGCACGCATGCAAAAGGTTTCTTTAATGGAAGCATCGTACGTGGTGACACCCTCCCATAGTTTCAACAAATTAGCAATCATAGGTTGTAAGTATATATCAATGTCTTGACCAGGACCCTTAGGTCTAGGAATGATCATTGACAAGATAAAAGAAGATTGCTTCAAATACATCCACGGAGGCAGATTGTAAGGAATCAATACCACCGGCCATATACTATAGTTGGTAGTCATTGTTCTATTGGGACTAAAGCCATCACTACTAAGAGCTAATCTAATATTGCGAGAATCAGAGGCAAAACTAGGATACCGAGAATCAAAAGCCTTCCATGCTTCGCCATCGGCTGGATGTCGCAGTAACCCATCTTTCCTACTACTTTCATCATGCCACCGCATGTGCTTCGCTGTCTTCTCCGAAGCGAACAACCTTTGCAGCCTTGGAATTAGAGGAAAATAGCGTAATACTTTTGTTTATTTCCTACGTTTTCCATTCACATAATATCTTTTTTTATGGCAAACCGCACGAGAAAGTGCATCTTTATTAGTACCCAGTACAAGGTACAATCACTTTCGCATGCTTCTATGTTTTCATAGTCTAAACCTAACCCTTGAACTATCCTCTTAGCTGCACCTTGTGACTTGGGTAAAGAAACTCCTTCCGGGAAGGCATCTAGTAAAAGCTCAAGCAATTTTGGAAAAGACTTTGCTGTCCACCCATTGAGAACTTTCAGATGATATAAATGTAATAAGAAAGATAGTTTTGAGAATGATTTGCACCCAGAATAGAGTTCTTCTTCTACATCTTGAATCAATTGTGCTACTTCTGGGGTATCCTCCTCAAAAACTTCATCTAAATCATCCATTTCAAGGTTCTCCCCCATATTTTCCCCATCTTCATGGGTAGAATCTCCATGGAAAGGATGATCATTGTTTACTTGGCCTTCGTCAATGAAGGCATCTCTAATTAGTCCAATCAAGTCAACCCCAATTCGCGGACTCGATTGAGTGGGGGCAGGATCTTGTCCATGATTCGTCATAAACGAAGATGAAGGACAAGGTTGTGAACTAGAAAAGGTAGGTATGCTAGTTCTAGATGTCTCTCCATGAAAAATACAACACGAATATCCTCGTAAAAATCCATAACAAATGAGGTGAACTCGAGCATTCTCACGCGTTTGAAAATTAACGTTTGCACAACGAATGCATGGACACAAGATTTTTCCTTCTGGATATGCATTTTGGAATGCAAAATCAAGGAAGTATTCTATCCCTTCTTTGTATTCACGACTAACCCTAGACTTGTTCATCCAACTCTTGTCCATTAGGCTGAACATAAACTGCAATCCAGCATATACCTAAAGTGGGGGGGGGGGGGGGGGAAATCACCGGAATGAATTTATCATGAGAATAATGTTTATATTTTGTGACCTTGTTAATTAATTCAAATGTTATTGGGTGGAAATGGAGTTTATTTCGTTTTCCCAAGTGGACAAGGGAAATTTGGGGAAGAAAGAAAGAGTTTAAGTAGTAAATGATACAGAGCTCAAATAGATGGCAGAGGAACTGATATCTAACTTGAATTCAACTAATGAGAGACACACAAACATGCACATGGCTAGGAACAACACATAGCATCACTCGAACAAAATGTAAATAGAACCCTGAAATTAGTAGTGTACCTTGTATTCATGTGGAAATTGATTAGCAAAGAGCGTGTGCAAAACTTAAAGCAACAGGAAGCCCCTCAAGCAAGGAAGTTGTGCTTTGGACATTCTTCCTTCGAAAACTATATATTATATAACAATCTGCAAGTAAGGCTTAATTGCAAGTTTGGTCACTCGAATTGCTACAAAATTTCACGTTTGCCACTCAAATTAATTTATTTCATTTATAGTCACTTAAATTAGATTAACAGTCCAAGTTTGGTCACTGGCCGTTAGTCTCCGTTAACTTTTGCTGATGTGGCGGTCAACTCTTATAGTTGACCGTTAAATGCATGACGTGGCAATCAAAAAATTTAAAAATTATAATTTCCAGCTCAACTATTAAAAAATAATAAAAATAATAAAAACCATTTCTAATCTAACCTCGGCTGGGAATTCCTTCTCAATCAACTGAGGGCTCCCATCCCATGAACTGATATCAACTTAAGGCTTCGTTGGGTCCTCTTCCGATTACCCTCTTCTCCCTTCTTCTCTTCGTCTTGATCTCCAACGTTCGGCGCCTCCGCTCGGCGACTCTCATCCGTTGTACAACAAACACCACTGCTAGAATTTGTTGCCAGTATGATGACACTGGCAGGAAACCAGTTCGGCCCAGGCTACAGAAGCGATCTGCCCCTGTTTCCAAAGATATATTGCAGGAGCGATATATCGGCCCAGGCTTCCTCTACCATTACCATGACACCGGCAGGAAACCATCTTTGAGAACACTGCAATTGCATCCCGTGCGAAACCATGTATTGCTAAGCCATTGATCATTGAGTTCCAAATCGAAACATCATCCCGCTGAACCCTCTGGAATATACTTTTTGCAGCTTCTATTCCACCACATTTGGAATACATATCGATCATAGCTGCAACCAGGATGTAATTAACTTCAATTCTCATATTGATCATCAGCTGATGCAGCCACTGAGCCAAGGGAAAACTACCAAGCTTTGCACAACCAGGCATAACAGATGCAAAAGTGAACTTGTCCGGAACAACATTTGAAGTAAGCATCATTGTGAAGAGCCTCAAGGCTTCCTCAAAACGCCCATTATCAACGTAACCTCCAATCATGGAGTTCCAAGTCACCACATCTCGGTCAGGCATTTTATCGAACTCCTTTCTGGCCAACTCTGAATCTCTGAATTTAATGAAGCTGTGAAGGGTCTTATTCAGAGCAACTAGATTCACAGTCCAATTAAAGACTTGGTCAACAACTTTATAAGCTAAATTGAGGCGGTCACAGTGGGCATACGCAGAAATCAATGAAGCCACGAGAGACGGGTCACAGTGGCCGTCCTCGGCAGAAGCGATTCCGCCTTCGTCGTAGCCATCGTAGATGGGGCGGAGATGGATGTCGCTCCGGGCGGTGCGGGTGAGGGTGGCGGTGTTGGCGATGAATCGGGTCGGGGCGATGGTGATCCATATTTGTTTGGGGATTAAGCGCTTCGAGAATTGGAGGACTGGGCTGATGTGGAAATTTTAAATTTTATTTATTTTTAATTTTTGATTGCCACGTCATGCATTTAACGGTCAACTATAAGAGTTGACCGCCACATCAGCAAAAGTTAACGGAGACTAACGGCCAGTGACCAAACTTGAACTGTTAACCTAATTCAAGTGACTATAAATGGAATAAATTAATTTGAGTGGCAAACGAGAAATTTTGTAGCAATTCGAGTGACCAAACTTGCAATTAAGCCCTGCAAGTAATGTTTGGATAACAGTTAGAATATGATCTTCTTAAGGGAAAACAACTGCAGATAACTGAGAGGACTACATCCATCTAGATTCTCATTTTGGTGTCTCCTATGAAACCACAGGGGAAGAAACCGAGCAATGGGTCGTGGGAGTTGTTATAAGGTAGGGAAAGGCAGTAACAATACCACCATATATACAGTTTAAGGGGAAACAACTGCATATATATATATATATTCAGCACTGGGTTACTACTCACCATTCCTACAATACCTAGTAGTTTATATTACAAAAGGAAAAAGGGACATTATTATATAACAGACCACCAACTCATAATTGCCTTAATCTTCTCCTGCTCTTCCTCTCTCTCTATATATATATAGCAAAGGCTATCTTATGTCAGTCGTACGCTATATGCCTGTGTTCACACCTATTTTTTGTACATGGATAATTCTGACAAATCAGTTGGTTTTCATTTTGAGATTAAATGAATATTATGGTTTGGGTTAGAGAATTGAGGACTGGGGTTCACCCATTAGAGGTTAGGGTATAGTATCATGCCCCAAACCCCAAACTCTGGTTAATTCATGGTCTAACTAACAAAATTCAACGGGCGTACGGTAAAGTCACTACAACAAATTCGGCCTGTTATGACGGGGATATTTCGTCATATTATATTCCTGTTTTGTCATAGTTGACCTAATATGACAAAATGGTTTGTCACACACTTTTGTCATTTTATCGCCGTCAGGATAGGTCAAATATGACAAATTTTTGAAACACATTTGTCACAAATACTTCCGTTACATATAAGGTTCTGGTTAGTCTATTGTGACAAACAAAGATAATATGACGAAACCTGTTTGTCATTAATGTTGTCATATATTGATACTTGTGAGAAATATGTTGGTCATATTAGACGATCATAGTTTGTCATAACAGTATATTGTGACGAATAATATTTGTCATGAGAGGTTCATAATTTGTCAGAATCCTAATATGACAAATCAGGTGTTTGTCAGGACATGTTTATAATGTGACAAATTGAAAAGTTTGTCTACATGTTTTGTCATAAATTGAAGGCATATTCCTGGGTTTATACTCTTCCATCACATTGTTGTGACTAAATTATTTTGTCATAAATTATGTTGTGACGAATATCCTTTGTCATATTTTCCTATTATGACGAATATATGTTGCCATTCCAGTGTATTATGACGAACGCATTTTCTCATAACTTATAATTGTGACTTGGCCCTTTTGTCGTAATCCTTATTATGACGAGTATATTTTGTCATTTTTTCCTATTATGACGAATTTAGCTCGTCATGGATTTGTCATAATATGTGAACTTTCCATTGTTGTCACATTTGATCTGCTTAACAAATTCTATAATGCGAAATTTAATCCGCAAACTGAACATGGAGATATAATTGAAAACATCTACCATATTACATCCATGACCATTCCCATGTCCCACTAAGGCCTTGTTCACCATAAACAAACATTCAAAGTAGTCCAACATCACACAACCATGAAACTCCTTGTTCACCACAACACAAAGCATGATAACTTTGTTCACAAAAGCATAAACTAACATACTTAAAACATCAAACACCTAGCCTGCATTCTCATCTGCCTCTGCAAACTAAGGCAGTGTTGTTACCTTGGACTTAGGAGTTCATTTGCGGGGTAATTGGCGAGCAATGACTAGCACTTGACGTTGTAGCTTGTCATGTGCGTCTTTCATCTGGTTCATCGCCTCTGCTTGAGTATCAAACCTCTCCTCCTGGCTCTTTAACTTGTCTTCCTGAAGTTGTATCTTCTCAGCCTGGCTTTTTAGCTGCTCCTCCTGACTCTGTATCTTCTCAGCAAACTCCTTGGCTTTTCTTTCCGCTTCAGCCCTTGTTGCCTCCAATTCTTCTTGGAGTTGAAGCTCCTTTGCTGATCTTGGGTTCTCCTTCGGTCCATACTTCACCTTTTTCTTGAGGACCTTCTCAACAATGTCACGGCCTGATATAGGCTTCCCCTCTGCCTTTGCCTCTATCCACATGGACTGCATCTCCAACTAGGATTGAAAGCAACACACGGGTAATGATATATGTCACATGGTTTGGTATGAACTCAGTGAAAATCAAACAAGGCACAAAAGGATGAACTCACATAGTTCTTCTGCGGTTCCTCCGATACCCAACTACCGTCAGCCCGCTGATACCTCTTCGCATACAATAGGAGATCTATTGGCTCCTCCTCTACGCTATCAGCATCCTCCATATCAGTTTCCCGCTCTTCTTGAGTAGGCTGCTGCTCCTGCTGCTTTTGCTTCTTTTTCTTCTCCTACACGAAACAAGGAAAGTTACACAATCAGGCAGAGATAAATTAGTCTTTAAATTCGAGAACACGTACCAACTCATATATTCTTTCAATGTATAAATTAGTCTTTGAATTCGAGAACACTTACCAACTCATATATTCTTTGATCAAGCGATTTTGCACCAGAAGTGTGTGCATACACTTGCTTACTCTTGTTGGCTTTATTTATTTGGCTTCGCTTCTGCATATGACAAATACAAGTCATTAGCAACCATTTATTGTAAGGCAAGGTTACACATGCTTGAATTGATGATGAAACAGAAGGTGTTACTTACTATAAAGTTTTCACTCTCAAAGTGATCACACAGCATATGCCAATCCTCTATGTTCATGTCCACTGGAGGGTCTGTCCTGGCTGTCTGAGGGTCTTTCAGGTAGTGAGCGTGCATCGCATACTTGTAATTGATGAACCGCTTCTTCATTCTCTTCTCCATAATCTTCCTTGCATCTGCTCCTGCCGTGTCTATGTCAAATTCATCCTACATAAACAACAAGTATATACTTCATTTACCAACAGATAGTGAAGTTTCCCAAGTCAAGTAAAACAAACAAACAGCAGCAAAAAAATGTCCAGATTAGCCTACTTCATGCCAAACTAGGAGTTTTCGGAAATTACCTCTAGCTTCTTGAATAATGGGTGCTTGTCTGCTTCAGTCAACTTGGACCAGTAGTACTTCCGTATCGGGGCCATCAGGCGTGTAACGACGCCCAACTCTGTCTTCAACAAGCTCTCATTAGGCCCTACGAATGACTGCCCATTCTCCATTACGTAGATTCCATCTATCTTTCCTCCAGTTCCGGTTCTCTTCATTATCTCGTACCCTTTGGACAGTCCCCTCTTTTTAGCCACAGGTGCTTCCAATCCAGTTGGATTACTACCTTCTCCGGTCTCATGATTGGATGCTTCTGCCTCGGAATCATCATTGCCATTGGGTTCGTCTGGATGCACAGTGTCTGTGCGTTGAGTATCCTCATTCACTGAGGCTCCAGCTGGACGTCTACTCCCCCCGCTTACAGATTCGGTGGACCGAGCAGGTTCTTGTCGCACCCTCCCTGATCTTGTCGCCCGGTAAAAATCCGGGATCGGCACTGCCTTGTCAGTAGCAGCCTTCTTCTTCTTCAGTGGCGGCATACCTACAACATAGGGGCAGGTTTAATGGTCAAAAAGCAACACACAGTAGGTGCTGACCTCAATTGAAGGCAAAAAAAGATTAATTGCAAAGACCAACAAAGCAAAACCACAGCCATCAATCCACATATTACTATGGCAAAGCAGATTTCAATAAGTGGACTAAAAAGTCTATAAGCACTCTGTTATGCAAACTTAAGAATCGCCTTAACTCCTCTAAACCACAACAACATCAAAATTAATAGGAGCATTATATGGGACCTAACTAATAGTTTACATTTGATCAAATCTGGAAACTAGAAAGCATACACCCCCACTGAAATATGGATGGAAAGAGGAAAAGCTAATAAGATGATGCATGCAATTGGATAATGTTCAAACGGTGAATTAGTAATCCCAACCCAAACTAAGATACAAGAGATGTAGTGTAGTGCAACAGGCAATAAATCAGAAGATACAGTGTTGCCAAGTACAAGAGTTTATGGCTGCAAACATGGGTGTTCCTTAATCTGGAGCAACAAGCAATGAGGGACATCGAGAATCGAGGGAATCAACATAAACAGAGCATGAACATAAACACAAACAAATCGACAAACCCTAATCGACAAACCAAATCACAAACAAATCGACAAACCAAATCACAAACCCCAGCAGTATGCAGAGGGACCTCGAGAGGAGAGGAGAGGAGGTCAAGGGTGCAACGCCGATTATCGAGGGAATCGGAAAATCGACAAACACAACAACTCGGAGAATCGGAAAATCGAGGGAATCATTAGAAATCCAAACCCTAATCCACATACCAAATCACAAAAGAAGAAGAAATCGGAGAAGAAATCGAATCATGCATGTCGCGGCAAACACAACATAGCAAACGGAGAAGAAATCGAATCATGCATGTCGCGGCAAACAGAGCATAGCAAACGAAAAAGAAATCGAATCATGCAAGTCGCGGCAAACCTGAATGGCGATTCTGAAACCAGCGCTTGACTGTCAAACAACTTCCCACAACTAGAACGACGAGAAGACACTACACAGCAATGATGAGTCTCAATTTCGCGGGGAAGGTTCAGAGAGAAATCGCCATAGGAGAGGTAGCGGCTGTCGGCAGATTCGAAGAAGAGGGACCTAGGGTTCTCCTTTCGGCAGATACAAAGAAGAGGGGAAAGGGCTTGGCTTACCTAATTTAAAATGGGCCCGACTAAAAGAATGAAAGAGCTTTGATCCCTTTAATCATTGGGCTCAGAAGACAGCCAATATAAACCATTTTTGAACTAAACCCAGTCTCCCTCCTACACAAACACTACAAATCTGCACCAGAAACCTAATCAAACATGAAAATTCATTGAACCAGAGACGATCTGGGTTTATGTTTTGCCTGGGTTCATATACGAAAACATAAACCCCATTTTCAGACTCAAGTAACATCGATAAAACTTGAACGCTATATTCAATATTCTTCATATAATCAACCCAAAAATCTGTAAAAATGAAACTAAGGCCCAAAAAAATTGGTTAAAAACAACTATGGCCCCCAAAAAATCTTTACATATCTATGTAAAAAAATAATCTGTAAACATATAAAGGGCGCCTTGGTTTAATGTACTGTTATGCTTCTTCCTCGTCACTAAAGGATGGATCATTCCCATCTGGGTGTTCAGTTTCATTCGTGGTGAAATGATGGTCATCTAAAGTGTCGTCCTCTATCTCCTCATCACTTGCTTCCATTGCTGCAGCTCGTCCATCAATGGCTCGTATGACTGGCTCAGTAACGATTGTTGGTGCCTCGTCATCACGACTCAAATCCGCTAAGTCGCTTTCACTTACATTAAAATCAGAAATGTCCACATCTTGTTGGTATGGCTGATTTTCATACACTGGATCCCCATGTCCCGCTTCCTCCTTCTCGGGAACATCGTACAAACTTCTTGGACATACCTTGTGGACGATATGCCATGCACCACCATTCTTAATATCTGCAATGTAGAACACTTGGTTAGCCTGACTGGCCAATACATATGGGTCCTCCGTACACCATTTTCTATCCATGTTTATGCTCGTCAAGTGTCCATCCATCCTTATTCCATTCTTCTTGTCCCCCACATTGAACCACTCGCACTTGAATACAAACACCCGATGCCCTCCAGAATATTGAAGCTTAATAATGTCTACCAGAACCCCGTAATAATCTATAGTCTCGCCATTGTGGTCAGCCCGAACAACGACACCACTATTCTGAGTTCGATGCCCTTGATCAGCCATTATTATTTGGTGTCGAACCCCGTTAATGATGAGTCCAGGATATCTAGTAATACGTTCATCAGCCCCTAATCCTAGGACATATAAATGGTCAGTCTCTTTAAGCCTGCCAGCCAAAAACTGTTCAGACACCTAAAACATAATACACGGCTGCTGTGAGTTAGAGAAGAGAAACAAATGGAAATATAAAAAAAGGGGGCTTCCAAAAGTTGACAGACTGAGATGGGTAGCTAGCTGCAATCAATAGATTGTGGTCTTGTGATTAAGAAAAGAGAAAAAGGGGGGATTTGGGCTTACAAAGGTTTTAAACCAGTATGGGAAGTTTTCAACAATGGTTGTTGGGGTACTGTTTGGATAATTCAGCATTCTCTGTTCCGTATGCATACTGTAACCGCAATTGTTAAGAACAAAAGGTATGAAAAAATAATAAATGGGGTTCAGAGTATACAAAGGAAGAAGAACTTACTTCAATTGTTCTTCAATTTCATCACAATTGGTGAAGACATACCATTGAATCTTATGGAACTCAGCCTGCCCTATAGGGTCGTAGTTTGCAGCACCTATAGATCTACCTTGCTGGCGGAACAAATCAAACCCCTTGTAGTTCAAATCATCTAACCCATCATCATTTCTGTCTAGCCTACCTGCTCGGGTTTCAACACCTTTAAGATATTTAGAACAGAAATCTGAACATTCTTTCGCTATATACCTTTCGGCAATCGATCCCTCCGCACGGGCCTTATTAGAAACATAAGATTTAAGAGTTCCTAAAAACCTAGTTAAATCAAAACCAAGAAAACGTCATAATACCAAAGTTAGCTACGTTATATAAAAAGTCGGAGAAAAAAATTAATGTGCGTGACTCAGGGTGTACCTCTCCATTGGGTACATCCAGCAATACTGCACCGGTCCCTCGAGCTCAATTTCGCGGGGAAGGTGAATAGGCAGATGCATCATCACGACGAAGAAAGCTGGTGGATACAACATTTCCAGGTTGCAAAGTATAACTGGAATGTTATCACTGAGTTTCCTGACAGTGGACTTCGATATCGTTCTTGAACACAACTCACGAAAGAATTCACTAAGTTGAGACAATATATTATATACTTCTTTGCTCAGGAACCCTTGTGCAACAACAGGCAGAAGGCGTTGAATGAAGACATAGTGATCATGGCTTTTCATGCCAGTGATTGACCGACCATCAGTAGTCACACACCGGGATATATTAGATGCATAAGCATCTGGGAATTTGATCGACCTCAACCAGTCACAAAATGGCCTTCGTTGTGCGGTTTTTATGGTGTATAAAGCGGGAGGCATTTTATACTTATCACCGTCTCTCACCAGATGTAGCTCTTTCCTAATACGCATATCTTCCAAATCCCGTCTAGCATTGGCTGTATCTTTGGTCTTACCCTCGATATTTAGTAGTGTAGCTATCACATTCTCACTAATGTTTTTTTCAACATGCATAACATCTAAATTATGCCTCAACTCTATAGTTTTCCAATATGTCAAACTCCAAAATGAAGCTTTGATTTTCCAGTTATGTGGAATATCATCAGAACCTCCCCTTTTCCTTTTCCCACAATCATTCACGACCACATCAGAGAGAAAGGCCTTATCTATTTGCTGCAAAAGTTGATCCCCAGACAACACTCTTGGTTTGCCTCTAAGTTCATGCTTCCCATCAAATTTCCGACTTTTTCTCCACCTATGGTCACTTGGCAGCCATCTTCGATGCCCCATGTAACACTCTTTATGACTAAAATCCAAACGTTCATAGCATGTCTCACTATTACATACAGGACAGGCTAATCTCCCCTTCGTACTCCAGCCCGATAGCATGCCATATGCGGGGAAATCGTTTATTGTCCATAACAACGCAGCATGTAAACGAAATGTTTCGTTTGAGTGTGCGTCATACGTACTGACCCCATCCTCCCATAACTCTCTCAACATTTCTATTAGGGGCTCTAAGTACACATGTATGTTATTACCGGGCGATTTCTCTCCAGGAATAAGGACAGCAAGAATAAAATAAGGTTCTGTCATACATTTCCAAGGCGGGAGATTGTACGGTGTTAACACGACAGGCCACATGCTATAGCTATTGCTCATGTTCCCAAAAGGATTGAACCCATCACTTAGAAGAGCAAGGCAAACATTCCTAGGGTCTGCTGAAAACCAATTATGTTCCTCATCGAATCGTTTCCAAGTTTTTCCATCTGCCGGATGCCTTAACGTATCATCATCGACACGCAAGTCCTTGTGCCACCTCATGTCTTTAGCATCCTCCTTAGTCATGTACAATCTTTGCAGCCTATCTTTTAGTGGGAAATACCTAGCTTTCTTTTGGGCTACATTATTTTGTTTCCCAGGTATGTATCTAGACTCATTGCATTTGGGACATGACTTGGCAGATTCTAGAGGACCTCTATAGAGTACACAATGATTTGGACATGCATCTATAGTGGTGTAACCAAACCCAAGATCTTCCATGTACCGCTTAACTTCATAGAAGGAAGAAGGAAGCGTCTCACCAACAGGTAAAGCTTTCTTGACTAGGTCCAGATTCATGTTGAAGGCTTTATCAGTACTATTGGTTACCAGTTTATTGTTCAGCAATTTCATAACAAATGATAATCTAGAAAAGTCTTTGCATCCAGGGTATAATGGCAAATTGGCATCACGGATTAGCCGAGCCAATTTATCATTGAGGTCTGTTATATTAGAATAATTAGGTGTTGTTGACCCCTCAATGGCAGGAGCATTTCCAGAAGAAGCACGCAGCATATCCCCTAACATATCTGCCATGTCATCCTCTAAACCCTCAGTCTCAGGCGCAACTATAGGTTGCCTAGGATGATGTCTAGTACTCCCA